TTAACATCAGCCTAATCATGACCCAATTGTGGGTAATCACATTTTACCTATAATTTAATCAACATTAAGGTTAATTATGCTAACTCATGGTCGACTGGTCTCCTTGGTGCCTCATTGGATGGTTTGAGTAATGGTTGACTATCCAGTTTGTGGCTGACCAGACGATTATATGTTACACAGACCCTCAAGCCCAAGTCTAAAATGATTGGCAAAGGGGTTTGAAGTTGGATAAATAGTTATCACCATCCATGTAGACCAGGTACGTTATATTCATTGGGAAGACAATTGCCTCCGCAAGGGCCACGACCACGTTGGGGGAAAATTGGTTAGATCAAGTGGTTAAGATCTTTCAATCGTTCATTTAGGAAACATTTAGACTGTTTGGCATATTGGTCTAATACTTTTCAAAGTATTAAAAACAATGACTGTTGGGGGAAAGTGTGTCACGGTTCAAATCTCGCACTTATCAGATTTAGAAAGAGTGATTGGCAGATGACGTCTAGGAGGTTATAAATAGGGGTGAGCCTCCATTCTTCATTTTCAAATTTACTTTTGTTCTTTCTACTTCAAATCGATTACTTTTCATATACAAGTAATAATGTCGATCATCTAGTTATCTTTGTTTTACGGAGTCTTTGGGAGGGAGTGGTTAAGGGTATGTAGACGATGCTTCTTCGTTGTCGATGTCATTGTCAATCACTTCGCCTGTTTTAAGATCAACTAAGCGGGGTGAGGATTTGGTGAGTAGTGTGGCCATTCTAGATACAAATAAGGCCACCAACTTTGATGACAATAAGGTTAGTGTTGTGTTGGACATCAACACAACCAACAAGGGGGATGAGTTGAACTTGTTGATTGTCCCTGACTATGATTTGGCATCTCGAGATGTAAATGAATATGTTATACGTTTTTGTTGGGGACAAAAGCTTATGGATTGGGTCGGGCAGACATACCTTGTAGAGGATGACTAGAGTGCCAAGATGTTCAGTCTGATCGTTTGCAAGGGGAACGAACGATTATTTCATGGGAATGAGAGTTGTCCTATGGACTTCTTCTACATGTATGCTTGTCTCTCTCAAGATTTGCTTGTTTCTCTTCCTTTTGACGAATTTCAAATGGCAATATTGCGGAAACTAAATCTGGCACTCACTTAACTTCACATAAACAGCTAGGCTTAGGTGTAGGCCTTTAAAGTGATATGCCCAACCCTGAACATCACTCTAACTCCCCATCTTTTTACATTACATTTATGCCCACCCGAACGCCAAAGGGTTGGGCCTCCCTCATATTCGAGAAGGAAAGGGGCCTATTTTGTTTGTACGCGCGTCCTTTAAGGGGTTCAAGACTGAATGTTTTAAAGTGGGAATAATAGAGGCCGATCGGCCTAAGACTTTTTATGAGGCCGATCAGACCAAATTTTCTTTATATTATACTCGAAGTCCTAGATAAATAATCTTGTGACACAAGTCCACAATGACTCCAAACGAAGTGGTCATGGTGGAGAATATCGATAAGCTCCTTTGCCACCTCCCCTCTCAAAGACTTGTCATATGACACAAGTTTGCAAACCTCTGTGATGATGTGTTTAGTAAGATGTCTTATTTATCAATGGTTGATGACCGATCAACGTTAACTTAATAATTTTTTTCTTATTTTTTAGAAATAATGGCTTCCCAAAATCCAAAACAAAAAAAAAACGGTTCAAGAATATCTCTGCCTGGTAGGGGGCTTACGGTAGTGGGGCAGTTGACGCCGGATCTTAAGGCACTCCAACACTGAGTCACCCTACTACTATGGAAGGGACTCAGCAGTCGTCTACCAGTTGTCCTACATATGGACATACACGCACGCAACCTCCACTCACTCGAGCAACTTATGTCTTTCAGCCAACACCAATTATTTTTGTCCACCTTGAACCGCAAGTGGGTTGGGAGGCAGATATAGGAGCAAGAAAGTCTTACCGTCAAGGTAAGAAGTCATTCTCCTCCCACAAGAAAAGTCGTAAGGATAACAACTCCTCAAGGACCTTGAGTGGCGGCATCTTTAGTACTAAGTTTCAACTTGGTTCTAAGGTAGTTTTAAAGTTGGTTGGGGAAAGAAGTAATTGTCTATGTGATGGTGAAAGATCTTGTCCATCAGTCGTTGGTACATGGCCTCACCATTCTTAAGGCTAAACGACATAACCTTATAGCAATAATTAATATGCTCACTGATAAAGGTTGTTTTGTCCTTGTCTGAATGGTACATGAGTATCTGATTATACCTAACTAAAGTACATATCCAAGAAACTAGGAATTTAATGACCTGACATGTCATCCATTAATCCGTCATTGCTGGAAGATGATAAGCATCCTTCGAGCAAACCTTGTTCAAGTCAGTGAAGTCATCCTATATTGACCGCTTGACTTTTAAATAATAACCATGTTCACCAACCACATGGTGTATGTAACCTCTTTAATGAAGTTGACTTCTTATAGTTTATTTACTTCGACCTCGATGTCCTTCTTCTTCTCCTTGCCCAATTGGCTTTTCTTCTGCACCACCAGGTGGGCTTCCTCGAATAGGACGAGCTTGTGGGACATCAAATTAGGGTAAATGCCCAACATGTCCACAATAGTCCGTGTGAACAAGTCATTGTTAGCTTTCAACATTCGTGCCACAACTTGTTCGTGATCTGGGCTTAAGTCGTTGCCCATGTTGATTTATATGCCTTCTTGTTTTCCAGGCTTAATTATTTTATTTCGCCTTATGTCGTTATTCGGTCCTCTATATTGGTCTTGGGATCCAAGTCAACCATGGCCATTTCAGATCTTCTAGCCTTGCATACAACGTCACCTTAAGCCTTGTCACATAACATTCTCACACAGTTTTTCTGATTTGGGTGCATTGTGCAGATTGTTCCCCTGTTGGATGGAAACTTCATCATCAGGTGAGACGTGGAGACTATTACACCAAATTCATTCACGCTTTGTCACTTGATCAATACATTGTAAGAGGTGTTAGCCTTCACCAGGAGATACCTCACCCGAATCTCCTTGTTATCTTGACTGGTCCCCAACCTTATCCTTAGGTGTACATAGCTACGGGTGTCCACCCTCTCTCTCACAAAGTCGATAATCTTCTTATTGTACGGGACAACGAGTCCTCAGAAATGTCCATCTTCAAGAAGTATTCCAATAGAGGATGTTGATCGAGTTCCTTTGGTCGATAAACACCTTATTCACCCCATAATGGGCTATCTCAGTCGTGGTGACTATGGGTCATCTTAATTAGGGTAAGGGCTTTGAAATCTTCATTTATGAAGATGATAAGCGACATGGACTTCGACTTCTTGTCCACAATATGGACAATGTTTAAGGTTTAGATATACCAATTGTAAGTCAAGAATAAGGACAACCACAATTTATCTATAATTTGATCAATATTAAGGTTAATTATACTAACTCATGACCAACCAATTTCGCTAGTAACTCATTAAATAATTCAAGTAATAGTTGACCATTCACTAACCATATATCACAAAATTTAAGATATGAAAAATATATGTTTAAATTTAAATTATTATTATTTTATGTCAATATAATAAAGTTAACAGATGAAACACCAATCTTAAACTTGGGTGGTTATCTCAACTTTGTTCTTCTATACTATCTTCCGCTTAACAATTTGCACAATAATCACAAGAAAACACAAAAACAAAATTAAAAAAAAAAAGAAAAAAAGTCTACTTATAGATAACACAAAAAGAAAAACATATTTCAAAGAGTAGAATAACTCTTTTTATATAAAATAAAGATAACAAAATGTTATTGAGATAAACATCATCAATAAGTTTTCAAAAAGACATTTAATCTAATTAATCTTACAGTACTAAAAACACTTTAATAAACCGTTGTATGAGCTCTTCCTACTTCCTAAGCCAATCATGATTTGAAAGAAAAAAATTACAATATTATATAAAATATTTATTAAATTTCATAAGACTTTAGCATAAAACACTTTTAAAATCCTGATCCAAACCCTTGTACAATATTTTATACGACAAATTAAGTGATGCTTATGTTATAACAGACAAAAAAAATTGTTTGAAAATTAAGATTAAGAATAATTCATAAATACTATTTTTTTAACTTATTAAAGTGAAAACATATATATATATATATATATATATATATTTAACTACAAAAGTGTGAATGCTCACAAAATTCACAGAAAAACAATACCTATCAGAAATTTAGAAAGCTTAATAATGTAGCAAACTTAGAACCAAAACATTGGTGATGAATCAGTGGTTCAAACCTTCCTACTCTTTCAATATTATTTGAGGATCAAAATCGATGATAGTTTATAACCTATCATCTCCCTTAACTCATGCATACATTGTTTATTACTAGAGAATCCAAAGAAATAATGTTGTATACACATTATTCTCTTTTAACCCACCATTAAGGATAAAGTCACAAACTTAACATTACAAAGTTTAGATTAATTAAAAAATGATATAATTATGTCACATTGAGCAGTAGGCTCAACCCCATATGGAGACCTAGGAAGGAATATTAATGGACTGACCTCTTAGTCAAAGAGACTAGAATATTCAATTAAGAATTGGGTGATACAGATTCATATAATGCACTAATAATACATTCTCAATTGACCTAGAGTGATAGCTTTAAACTATAGCTTTGAAATTATGATGGAGCCCTAGGGCATTTTATACTAACATGAAAATAAAAGAGGGAGAAAAAAATGCACTAATCTTTATTATTTCTGATTGAATCGTTTTAAATATCCCAGAATGTAAATATCCTAATGCCTGAGAATTAGTAAATAGAAAAGAAAACAACTAACAATGTTGAATTTGTTATATTAGACAGTATCCTCTTATTTTGGGACCAAATCATGGTCATTATTAGCAGCAAATCCTCATAAATAAGATCAAATAAATACTAAAGTTGGACTCTGATTCCAGCAAATTTACTTGATAACTCCAAAAGTGCTTCATCCAAGCAGTAATAAACATTTGATAAACAACGTTTCATGACAAATTAATTCAAATGATGCACAAACAAATCAGAACAATATAGAAAACATGTTCATTATGAAGTTAAAACATCCACAAGAAACGAGAAAAATACTTCAACTATACCCCACTTCCTCATGAATGTTTTCAAATCTTATTAACTGAAATCCTTAAGTCGCTTTTTGAGAACGTCCATTGATTTCTTCATAGCACTTTGCTTTGCATTTTTATTAGCAAGGCTTCCAAAGATTCCATCTGGAGAATCCTTGAACTTATCAAGGATGGCAGCCACCTTCTTAATTTCAAGTGCATAATAGTTTTTCTCCCATATATCAGGATTCAGGAAGTTCTCTGGTTGACTACTTAGCAAAAGATTGACTAATTGACGTGCTTCTACCAAGCAGTTCTTAAAACTAACTTCATTGTACATTTCTCCCAAACCAGCAGAATAGAACCTCTCCTCTGCAAAATTTTCTATGATCTGAAGATCATATTCAATATTTATAACTGCATTTACATTAAATCTTTTAACACTATCACTAGAGAAAGCTGCCACTATTGAATTTGAGATGTGCTCAAAAGCACCACTCCCAACTCTGTACACAGAATCCAAGGGTAGAATTTGTTGTGCTGGGGACATGAAAGAGTCAAGGTAAATGATCACTTCATGTATGTAGTCATTTCCATTCTCATTTGTCTCCTCGGGAGTCCAATTAACACTATCAGAAAGATTCATAAACTCGCTTATCTTTGTGTTCACCAGACTCTGTAGGGCAATGAAAGCTGCCTCCCTGGATGTCTTCAAGACCACCTTTGCAGTTAAAGTAGCTTGAGGCCTTCCAACTGATCGTACTGGGATGCCACACAGTTGGGCAGCATGTCGAAGGAAAAAATCACAAGCTCTTTCAAGAACAGTTATGTTTGCAGCAATCTGCATGAGTTGAGGTACAGTGATATTGCCACTGTTGATTTTCTCAAGTAATGTTACATTTAGTACATCAATCAGGAACTTGTCTAAATACTTTTTCACAACTTAAAAGAAATTCACTTGTATGCCATAAGATAAGTAATCGACAGAGCCTTTGATGAATGATCTCACAATGCGACAAGTATCAGGTACCATGGAGGAGAAAGGTGCAATGTATGGAAATTCTGGCATGATATCAGATGTTTGAAGATTAAATGACAGCACAATATTCTCATAGTCAGTTTCCTTTTTTATCTCCATTTGGTCATATGGATCATTACCAAAGACATCCACAGTTTGTAGCCGGCATTCTTCCAAAAGAAGCATGTGGTATTTGTCACAACTACTATCAAGAACATCAAGAAATGTGCTTATTTCATATCCATAATGTCTAAGAGTAGATCCAAACAGAGTGACATAATCCTTCACCAGGAGAAGATGGGGGGCAGATTCCATACAAGAAAACTGCTCCTCCAACAGTGAAGTCACTTTAGCCACAGCAGTCTGCCACATTGTTTCAGCCTGATCAGCTTCAAGGAGGCCCCCAGTCGTTCTAAGGACTCTATCCTCCACTATAAAGAATCCAGCAATTTGAGCAAAATATGTCTGGAATGATTCAACAAAAGGCTGTGCTGAAGTTATCTCAAGGTCTGAATTCAATTGTAACAACCTATTGGTATAGTAATATTCACGAAACTTGTTTAGGATACCCAGGCAATCATGAATATGATAAGCGCGATAAAGTGGTGTAAGATCAAACTGTAAAACTGAATCTTCTTCAACTTCTTCAGCATCTAAAGAATAACCTAGATCCCCTAGTCCTGAAATACTTTGCTCCTCAACCTTCCTCTGTTGTTCTAGCATTTCCTGGTCCTTTTGACGAACTGTCACAGCTAGACCAATTGCTGTTTCCCCAATATTTTTAGCAGAACTCCTTATATCAACCATCCACTCATTAACTTGGATACAAATTGTCTTCTCAATGTGCAACTTTATAACAGGAATTCTCTTCTCTATGACCTCTTTGAAAATTTTTGCAGGAATATTCTGTGTGCAACTTTTCTCAATTAAATCCAAAGTTTTCAATGCAGAATAAAACTGACCTTCTGAAATATGGCTGTTACACTTTACACAAAGCTCCAGCACCTGTATACAGCTCTTCGTCACTTCTATAGCTTCAGTGATATTTTTCCTAATAGAATACAACTCAAGAAGCCCTTCAAGCTTGGCAAGAAGGGTGCTGCCAACCTGCTGCAACTTAAAATTGTCACTTTGGAGCTCACTCTTCAGCTTCTCGGCATCAACTAACACACCACGAAGCTCATCAACTGCAAGGATGAATTCATCGTAGTGGGTCTTGCACATCTCCTCAATTTCTGCTTCCTTTTGCTTAACCACATATGTCAGTTGGTGAAGAAGCCCCTCAGGCCGCCCCATTTCGAAAGAGAGCCTCACAAGGGGACCAACATCATCTCCATTTGCAATCAAATTCGCCATAACCTTGTCCTCCCCTCCATTACCATTCTCAATAACACCTCTCCTCTTTGTTTTCACATCCATGATAACATGAATCCCTGGAATTTTGACAACACAATTCTCAATAGAAACCAAAGAAATACCAAGTTTATAACTATTCCAAATATTCACAACTATTCCTACCACAAAACTCATATAACTTATCAAATATAAACAATCAATACAATAGCAGTCAGTCACACACCACTGAGACCAGTAATTCACTCTGCAGGTTTACTTTGTACAAGTTGAGAAGAAAAAAAAGAAAACAATTAGGGTTTGTTTGATTCTCTTTCACATTTTAGTTTTAAAACTGTTTGCTAGAGTAATATTCCACACCACTCAGCCAGTAATCAATTTCTCATCCAAAATCTAGAAAGTTTTGAGAATTGTTTAAGAGTGAGATGTTTTCATTTTGCTCAACCACTCACTCAATTTTCCACCCTCCCTATGCATTGCACCATCCTCAGCCAGCTGTCTGAGCAACCTTGTGCAGTTGTCTTTCAAAAACTAAAAACAGTTTTGAAAATAAAAATAAACACACCCTAAATCAAGCTTGATAGAAAGCATAAACCAATTAATCCGGAGATCAACAAACAAATTATTTTACCTTTACAAAACATAAAACAAAAAATCAAAGAAAATAGCAGACATCGGTAATTCACCAGAGCGCAGGTTACTATGCTTCCAATTATACTTCATAACAGTCAGTACAGAAGATACAAATGCCATAAAAAAAATATCCAAAATAAACAAAACCCAGAAAAAAGCTAGAAGAACAGATTAACAACAGCACAAAGGGAACTTAAAGATAACATTTTTAGAAAGAAAAGACTTAAAGAAACATGATTTGTGAATAGATTTGAAGACCCAAATGAAAAATAAAAAATAAAAGATGTAAGGAAAGTAGAAAGAGAATCAAAGTAAGTAGGAAACGACCGTACCTGGTCAAGCTATGAAAAGGGTGCCTGTTAGCTTAGGAATGTGAAGCAAAAAATGGAAGTTAGAGAGTATTTTGTTTGTGTTGAAAAGGGGACGACAATTCCCAGGTAGCAGTGAAGCAGAGCCAGCGTGGTGACACCACTTCACCGCTTTGGCTACACTCGCCGTGAATCAAATTCGCCGGCACTTTTTTCTTTATGAAATAAAATGTCTTAAAATTATAAAAAAAAGTACCAAAAAAGTTGACAATAACAGGTAATTTTACGATATCACCCTTGTAAAAATCGTAAGCAAAACAATTTTGTCTCCACCTGTTTAATTTTGTGATTCAAATGGGTTGCTTAATTAGGATTAGGGTTATGGGATGTTGGCTTTTAAAGCTAAGGTCTATTATTTTAAAAATTTTGAAAATTATGGTATTTTATCATTATATTTAAAAACTAAAATTAATTTTATCTATATGACCTAAATTTAAACAAAAAAAAATAACTTTTTGAATTTAGGAATATCTTTTAATTTTCTTTTAAATAATGAAAGACCAAAGTAAAGAAACTTAAACATTGGAAAAATATGAAGCAAAGTTCATACAATAAAAAGCAGGTAACAAACTTATTGTTGGCTAATTGTTTTCCCTTTAAGTTTACACAACTCAATTTGCATTATGTCTTGCAAATTAAACTTAAAGATGTAGTTTTCATGATCACCTATGGTGATTGTGATTTCCAATATATTCCAAATTAAATTCTTTTTCTGATACCTAAGGAAACAGTTGGGTCACTGGTTTATTTTTGTTAAAAAAAATTCTTAATTTTTAGTTAAAATTAGTTTTTTTTTAACTGTGATCTAATTTGATATGATAACTTTTAAAATGTTTGAATTTAATTTTTTTAATCAAATTTTGTTAACTTTATTTAATGTTTTAAATTCATTGAATTTAATTGTTTACGTAGTTTAATATAATGTTAACTGAGAAATAGGATTGAAATGTAAAATAAATTAATACATTTTAAGAAATTTAATTAAAATTAGATAAAATTTTGAAAATAGACTAATTTTAATTTTCATCAAAAATTAAAAAATAAAAATCATATTTAACTTTTTTTTATCTTAAATATATTTTACTTTAACATTAAAAATAAATAAAATTCATTGTTTTCGTGGATAACAACACGTAATACAACTTTCCAAGATGCAAAACTTTGACCTGCAAGGGTGCCTTCAAGAAAAAGGGAAATGTTAATTTGTTTGGGAACTATGAACAGCAATGTCCATGAATCAGTATGTTCCAACAATAATTATTAGTATAAAAAATAGTTAATTTTAAAGAATATCAAATTAAAAATTAATTAAATTTAAAAAGTATTATTTAAAAAATAGTAAAATATTATTTTTTTTGAAAAAATAATTACTTATTAAAAATAAAGCAATTTTTTATATAATAACGTAGACAGTTTAAACTGTTTCTTACTCACAGATAAATATAAATTAATCTCCTCTATAACTGCCTACACATATGTAAAAGTTTGAGGGATTTTCTGATTTAGTTTTTTTTTTTTTTTCATTTCACAATTTTGTTTTCTTTTAATACTCATTACTACTCATGCAGGATCGGTTCATATCTAAAAGTTTGCCGGTTGTCATGTTTTCTGTGTTTTTCACATGTTTATATTTTATATGTTTTTACAAATTAAATTAAATTTAATTTGAAATACGTTTATATTATTTTTTTAAGTTTATTATATATTTTTTTAGGAATGCTATAATGTGTAAGTTATACATAGTGTAGTTATTTTGTTAATACTAAATTTTAAAATATTTTAAAGTAATAAATTGATTTTATTAATCTAAGATATTACAGAAAGAAAAAAGAATTTATGAGGTGGTTAGGAGGTTAGGGAATGTTTGTAACCGTTAGCAGTTCTCTTAACTGTTAAAAAGCGCAACCTTTTGAAATATTAAAAGATTAAGACAGTAAGAAGAGACCAAGAGAAATACAAGTTCAAATTCTTAGTTATAACATGCTTGAAAAGTGTCTCATATGTGAAACTCAGGCCAACAGTTATTGCAGATTATATATCAGTAACATCACACAAAATATAACAGCTGATATGCAGAAAGCATGTAAAGTACCATTTGAAAACAGACCTACTTTCACACAGAAAACTAGAAGGACAAATGCCTTAGGCAACAGTTTCAATAGCAGTTTCTGAAGTCTTGTTTTCAGGCTCAGCTGAGGCAACAGGTTCAGTTTCTGAAGGCTTGATTTCTGGGGCAACAGGTGCAGTTTCTGAAGGTTTGGTATCATTTTCAGCAGAGGCAACAGGTGCAGTTTCTGAAGGCTTGTTTTCAGCTGGTGCTTCATCCACCCAGAATGCAGTCTTCTTCCCAGTTTTGGAAACAGCTTGCAGAACTTCATCTGCTTGTACATTTCCCTTCACTGTCACCTTCTGCTCCTTCAGATCAATGTCAAATGACTCAACACCTATATAACATTGCAGAAATTTTGAAGGGTTAAAGGCCATTAACACAGCTAAAAGGAGGTCAATCTTGAGTGTTCACTGTTGTCCCCTTCGCTTGTTTCTGACTGGAAAGAAGAAGTAAAACCTCACATTTTCTCTTTATAAGAAATGACTGAAAACGTGAACATTAATTTTTCCTAGAAAAAGAAACACAATGTGAAGAGCTTAAATTAAGCTAAATGTGCACAAGGAAAAAATTTTCCTCTCTTTTAGTCAAGTAACAAGACACTAGTAGCTTATTTCTATTAAAAAAAAACCTTTGCAGACAGGGCATATTATAATTCGAGGCAGCATATTTTCTTCTTCTTTAAACAAAAACCATAGAAGCAAGTTAACTATGAGACTTGTAAAACTTAATTATATAAACTTCAAGCCATAGTTTTCAATTTCCCATTCAATCAGAGGAAACTGCCACAACACTTATGGCTTGAGTAGGTGCTGATTTAGCAATATTAATGTGTCTCTTCGCCAGGAAAATGTCATATGTTTAGTTTAAATGTTATGCAATGTCAGAAATTACAAAGTTGATGCTTGTCATAGATGGCAATGACAATGTTAGCTATGAAATGTTCCAGGCTCAGAAATATCAGACCAGTATAGTAAAGGAACATGATCTTTTTATGGGAAAAATCAAAGTTTCATTGAATTGAATTGTGACCCTTCAGAAAGAAACTTTCTTTTGAAGGTAAAGCATAATGGACATGGAATGGAACAAAACTTTTGCTTGTCATATCCATCTTAGAATAATGTAAGTACCAAAAAGGGCTATTTCCATCACATTGAGTGTCACACGATAATTAGGAAAATAAAAAGCCTTTGAAACTCCATCAAACATGTCTCAAGCATCAATGTGATCATATTAGATATTAAAATACAGATAAGAAACTAATTCTCATGTACATGCAAAGAATATGAGTAAATTCAGAAAAACAATTGAAAATCCTAAAGTGGTTATTCACAATACCCACCAACAAAAGATCATGAATTTAAAGGGGAATGTTACACTAATACAACCAACCTAAGACTAACGTCTGAAATAACAGACCTAAAACTCCCAAATGAATAAAAGTAGAATTGTTAATCAACTAAGGATGGCTTTCATTGGATCTGGGTATAAGCCACATCAAATTCAGACAACATTCTAATAACCTGTGCAAGATATTACTCATGGTGATGTCTCAGAGTCAATTGTGAACAGGAAAAGCACACAATCATATAATTACAGCCTAAAAGTGAAAGCCAAGAAGTTTAAGAAAGGAAGAACCAGAACTTCTGGTGCTTAACATTAAAAATGACATTACGCTCATTTGAAGTATTTTACAGAGGAAAGAAATGGAAAAGAACTTCTGAATTAAGAAAACAGCTGACAAACACTTAAAAACAAAATACTTATGGTAATTAGATTGTGAATCACGCAGGATACTTTAAATGAAAAATTGACAAGAGCACGCCCTTGCCATAAAAAATTGGCATGCAAGATATTACGTTGTTACAAATACTAGACCACTTTTATTTTGGATCAGATAGTAGCAAAAAAATTAGCAGGAATGAAAAATACCTTCCATTTTTCCCAAAACCCTATTCACTGCTCCAGCACACCCCTGACATGACATACCAACTTTGAGGACAACAGTCTGCAACCACAATGAGAAAATTTAGATTGGAAGAGTAGAGAAAAGAATAATTAGTCTCATCTTAACCCCAACATTCATATATGAAAAAACAAACTCATAACTAAAATCTAATATGAACTTGAATCAATTTAAGAAAGGGAAAGAAATGGAACATGCAGAGGAATTGAGCATATAATGGCATCGAACACAAATGTAGGAACAAGAGATTAATATACTATAATTTGTGATGTGAAACAGAAAAGAACGATCCCTTTAATTGATGCTGTAAAAGTGAGATGCCAGTGACCTTATTACATCTGATCTGACATAAAACTAGATTTTGAAGGTTCAGATATAATAATATAAACATCAGGAACTCGCAAAGTGGAGTCATATTCAAAGCCAGTCAGAATCAACTAAAAGCCAGTCCTGTAGACTAAGCAAAAAACAGAATCAACTAAAATCCAGTCCTGTAGACTAAGCAAAAAACAGAATCACAGCTTTTAATCAGTTTATTGCAATAGACTTTTAATATAATGGGGCCAGAAACTAAGACTTTTAACAAACAAGGAAGGGCCAACCATTGTTACTTTCTTACTATTAGATTTGAAGTTATATTTTAATCAGTTCGTTTGCAAGAAATAATGTTAGAATTTTATATCTAGCAATTATATTCTTTATTGGAGCAAATCATCGGGAAGAAAAATCATAAAAAGTGATAAGAACATCAGATATGTTAGATACAACCGTTGAGGACAAGTTCTGCAACTATTTGAAGAGAAATTGAAGATCCATGAAAACTAAATTAATATGAACAAAACAACAAAACCACTTTCAACTTTAACCCTTCAGCACTGAAAGCATGTATCTGCAACTTGTCAGAAGGATTCTTATGAGCAGATGTTGAACCTTCTCTAAATTGAAACTCAAAATTGCAAACCCAATAAATTGCAATACTTATTAGGATTCTTGACCTGAAGGAAAAACAAAGCTTTGAAGTAAAATCGTATTTTTTTTTAGAATTAAACTTCATGGGCAATCACATTTCAAACAAAAGATTCCACCTTTGCCTATATATAA